CCCATACACCATCCTTTTGTCCTGTATCTTTAAGTTCTTTCAGGCATGGATTGTCATGCTTATGTGTTGTAAGGCACACAATATTTACCTGTACATAGGTCTCAAGTCAATAGTATGTAAAATAATGGTCTACGTGGTGTGAAAAAAAGAAAGATTCATTGACTATGTATTCCTTTATTGATACTTGTTGGATATAAGTAGGAAAAAACAATAACTCCTACATGGAGTGCAGCATAGAATATATTCAAGTCAGTATAATATATGACCCTTCACAGCTTTAAAAAAAGACAGCTAAAGAAATAGAGAATGCCAATGGAGATTTACTTCAAGATCATGAAGTCTTTGTTTTTAAGTGTTTCTGTTGACTTAAATATGTTAGAGAAGTCCCAAGTTGTTGTTTCAAAATAGTCTTAGTGATAGGCTGGTGCCTAGGCAATAGGGAACAATTTGTCTTTCTCAAGTAAGATGCGAATTTTGCTGCTGCTCATGCTGTTGTTGGAATCTTTGTAGCCAAAATTAGCATCACTTACCTCAACTGCCCCACAGCTTTTCTAAGCCAGCCTGCCAGCAAGGAAAAGGAAATGCTTTCACTGTAGAGCTTTTCGAAGTCTGGACAAAAGCTCATTTTCTGTTCTTCAGGTTTCCTATATATGGCTTTAGCCTCGAGATGGGGACCTGCTCACTGTGCACCATCTCCCATCCCCCATTTCCTGCCTGGGTTCATTAAATGCTGATTTGAAGTTGGTACACACTCTTCTGATACAAAAGTAGTACTGTGTTCCAGGAGCCATCAGAAAGCAGTGCATTATTATCTTTTACATTCCCTTCATATATATGTCCTCTCCCCATGCACTGAAATGATTTTTTCCCTTCTTCTTAAATATTTCTGTGTGTTTAGTCAAAAGAAACAGTGAAGCAAAGCCCTGTCAAAAAAAACGCACCTTATTTGGGAGCAGTCTCACCCCAGGCTATACACCTAAATTTTAGTATCTGCAAATTGCTAATATTAAGTAAAGTGGAGTACAGGACTTAAAAACTTGAATGAATCATTTTCCTATCTCATGCTTGCATTTTAAGTGTCATGTAAAGCAGGGAGAATAGTTTTCTTTCACCTGAGCAATGATGGTTGTGATGAAATTAATTTGTGAAGCCTATATATTTTCTATTTTTTAACACTACAGTTACTCACTTCTTTTTGGCTATATGAAACCATCACAAGAGATGAGAAGGCTCACTGAGACGCTGTCTGTCTTCTTCACCTAGGACCATAAGTTTTCAGTTCTTTAGAGATAATTGCAAGACATGCCAAGAAGTTAGGTAACCTATCCTTGGGTTGCCTGTGATATCTTCTGTTGTTCAATACTCTTTTATACCTGTTTCCCACTTACAGTCATTTAAAGTGTAATACCAGTTCATTATTATCAGCACTAAAAAGAATAAGCCAGGTAATAGCAATGAGACTGAACAAACCATATCACTGCTCTATCTCATTATTCCAAATTATGCTGCAGGTAGATAAAGTCATTTTCAGGGTATTCTTTCCTGAAATCCACTCAAGTTAATCACTCAAATAGGTAACAACTGATTCCCATTGAGATCAATGACATGGGCTTTGATAGCCTTCAGATAAAGTGGCTGTGTCTTTTGGGGTTTTTTTGCAACAAAGCACTTTCAAATAATCTATTTTCCCTTTCTCCAAGTGGAAACTGATTATTACTTGTTTCAATGTGCTAAATGTAGTAGAAGTGCCAAGATTCATGGAGCAAAGAGGATAGGCTAATAGTGTCCAATTAGACCAATATCAGATGGATACTGATTCTTAGCTTGATTTTAGAAGAACAAACTAACCTACCAGCCTGCTGCCATGAAAACAAGCAGTCCTGTTTTCCTCATCTACCACACTCCTGGCCATGTGCTCTTCTTTTTCTCTTGTCTATGGCATTCTGGCTCCTTTGCAGATCACTCAGCCCACTGTAGTTGCAGGCATCTAACCCAGCAAACCCCCACCTCATTCAGCACCTCCAGTGCTGTAGAGAGGTTCTGTTTCCTCAGGAAGGTGAGGTATGTGACGTATCCTGTATGGAGTAGAATTCATCTACGTTTGAGTCCTGGACTCCAGTTGTATGCAGAAAGTTACCAACATGCAGTGATTATCTTGCTGAGTCAGTGTCTTGGTTTGTGGTTGAATCACTTCAAAAAGTAATAGTCTGCATGAAGGTGTCTTCAATGATTTTGTGGTATTAATGGAGAAACAAAAATTTAATTACTTGGGGCTTCTACATGAGGCAGCTACTCTGTGCCACATGTGACACTTCTTTTCCACATGGAGAACACCTTTGGATGATGAACATAGTCTTTTTAGGCAGTGGATTAAGATGAGCAAAGATGCTAATAATGTTCAGCAGAAATACTTACAAGGGTGACTAATGCAAAACAGTTATTTTGAGCGTTATCCCTCTGTAGGCCACTTCTGAAAACCACTAGTTGAAGTATTGAGCCAGTGCTCCTTTGAAACATAAGGCAGATTAATTCTAATAATTGTTCACCATTTGCCACTAAGGCTGTTTAAGTGCCCCATGTATGGGCTTTGGGACCGTTGGTGTGCATATATATGTTTATACATTTATAATTTTAATCCACAGCTCTAACCTTGAAGCTTAACATACTTAATTTTAACCCTTTTTAACTATAAGAGGAGAGTTGAGTATTGCAGATACGTTATTGCTGCCTTCATGTAGGAGTGCACTGAAGCACATAGGATTGTTGTTGTGATCCCTATGTGTCGCAGTCATCAATACGTCTGCTTCAGCTTTGGTGGGCCAGGATGGTACAGTGACCTCTGCAGGCACACACCAAGTCAATGCCTCAGCCACGGACAAGTATCAAGAAAATGCTTCCCAGTTCTTCATTTTGTCCACTGGAGCAGATATCCTCAAATTGGTTAAGTTTATATATTTAGTGCACTGAAACCTGAATTCTTATTGTCAGCTGTTGAGTCCAAGCTGCCACGTTAGGAGCTGGCAGTGTCCCTTGGGAGACATTCAAGAAAGCCAATATTTGAAGCAAACGCTCTTGAGAAGCCTTGGCTTTGTTTTTCATTGGGAGGTTTATTTTATAATTTAAAAACCACTTTCCTCCATGCCTTTTCATTTTAACATGGATTATTTCCATTGTAAAATGATTCATGCAAGGGCTGTCTTCTCAGCTAGCTCATATATTCAAACATTGACATCAAAGTCTTCTTTCTCTGCTTATATGATTGATTCAGATGCAGAATATGATAGGAATGTGGTAAAAAATAGAAAGGCAATTGCTGTGACTGAGCATGAAACATTCATATGGAAGTGGAGATTTCTCCAGTGAGTGTTGCAGAGGATTTGTATCACATTAGTCTTGTCACGGGTATGGGAGTATTCTAAGTTTTAAGAATATGGAATAGTGTAAATCAAAATCAGCATAAGTGCAAAAGGAGTGAGCACCTTTTCTTCGAAATCTCATCATACTTGGGTGAGATCTGTAGTGAATTCATGTAGTGTCATCTTAGTCCATTGTTATATTTTCATTTTCATAGAAAACAGTATCTTAGCAAACAAGTAATCTGTGCTCCACCACTGGAACCATTCTCTTAATAACGGTAGTAACTGATTAAAAGCAAATTTCTCATTAAGTTATTAGGAAAGATTTCCAGTGTTTTGCTAACCTGTGTATCTTGGTCTGAAGTGCACTTCAGACACAGGCCACTTACAAGGGAGTGCTTGCCAGGAGCAATGTGGTAGGTGACTCAGGCCACTGTGGCTCTCCAGGATCCCGCAGCACTGCAGCAGAGGTGCAGCCCCTTCGCTCTCGCGTGTGCAGTTCTAGTATCCCCATCCTGAGGGAACAAGTGGGACAGGAGGAAACAGATGCTACATGCTGGGCAGGGACTAGAATTAGAAGCGTAAGATTGAGCTCCTGCCCCAAAGTGACAAACAGTGTAATGCTGAACTGAATATAGATTTAATTTATTTTGTTTTTTCTGCTGACTCTTGCTCCTTTCTTTGGGGCTGGGCTTATGCCTTTGCATAGGAGAGTGAAGTGATCCCAGTTTCCAGCTCTCTCTATTTTGAGATACTGCTTAGCCAAGCCTCAGTTCCAGAAAGGAAAATACAAACAAATGTTATTCCACAATTATCTTTCACTAGCTCTTAGCAGTCTGTTTGATAGAGGGTTTACTTAGAAGTAAATGAGTACAAGAAACATTTTATCATGCTAAAAATAACACAAAATAAAAAGCATAGCAGAGTTTCGTCTCTGGCCTTCATATGAAAAGACTGTGTCCATTTAGGAAACAAAGGTGGAACTTGCCCAAGGTGCATTAAGTATAATCCTAGGTTTTCTGGGAATCAGTCCTACTTCTCTTGTTTTCAGAGCATATATTTTCCTCTGTAAATGTTCTTAGGACACCCTCATAAATCTAGTTGTTTGGTGTGTTACTCAGAAGGCATTGAAGTTCTGGGCCTAAAATTGCTGACCAAGAAATGTTCTGCCAGCGAGTCTTGGTGTAATTTATATTTCTAAGAGAAATCAAAAGGCACCAGTGGAGCATTTTCTCTATTTCTGTCATCAGACCATAATCCAATTATAAGGTTCCAAGTTTTAAGCTGTATTTCCATCCAAGTTTTCACCTACAAGAGAGATAAAAATAATGTAGGATAAAACTTGAGTTCAGCTGTATTCAATGCTTATGATATTAACCATATATAATGAGTAACTTCAGAGTTGAAATGGTATGAGGAAAATACTGGTATCCAAAGCTTTTCCGCTCTCTTCCTCTTTTTTTCTAGCCTCCCATTTAAAATGGAGTTGCATGAGGAGCAGCAGCGGGCTGGGGAGAATGGGCAGTAAAACCTCTGCCTCCAAGCCCTCCTTGGATCAGATGGTGTCATACAGGGCATGTCAGTGGTGTCTGACCCAAAGCAGTAATCTGATTTGTAATTTTTTTTTCTTCATTTCATTTCCAGCTTCAGAGCCCAATTTGAAGGTACGTTCAAGGTTAAAACAAAAGGTGACAGAAAGGAGAAGCAGTCCTTTACTCAGGAGGAAGGATGGGAATGTTGTCAGTTCATTCAAGAAGCGACTCTTTGAGGTGACAGGTAATTAAGAATGGAGAAATTCTGTATCAGGTGTTATTGCTCACAGAATAGTGATGGTGTTTTGGAATTGAAATGGCTTGCTAATAAAAATTTTTTTTTCTTTTTTTGTTGGTTTGTTTTTTTTTTCTACTGAAAAGAAAACAGTATTAAGTAAATAGTTCTGTATAAATAACTTGGAACCTACAGCTTTCTACCACTTGCTGAAAAGTCACTGTCAATTTGAAAGCCATACTTTCAAACCAGCTTGGAAACCAGTACTTTACAACAGCAAGTGCAAGAACAAATAAATGGTCAACTTCAGTGACAAGGAACATCAAAGGAGAAAACAAGAATAGTCTCTTCCCTTGATTTGTCTCTTCAGTACATTAACAACATTTTGGGTCTTGCATCTCCCACTTCTCATCTCCCATGGAAAATGCAGATGCTAATAGCAGGTGCAAAAACACCTCTCTTGTATTACTTAGATTATTCAAGGACTATTTGAAATCTTGTGTTTGGCCCTATCTCTGGTTTCTCTTGTTTGATAATGTCAAGATTAGTTATTTTGAGCTAGGGGCTCACTAAGCTTTTTTTTGAGAAGAAAGAGTTGAAACATTTAGATGTTCACTGGTATATTGTTTGTCATAGCAGATAGTAAGTTTTCTTAGTAATTGAAAGGGAATTTTTAGCATATAACAATACAGAATCATGCATATAGCCCATCATTTAATTGTCAGTTTATACAAACAGTGCTACTGTAATTTTTAACAAGCTGAGAAAAAATAGTAAGTTAGTGCTTCTGCTCTTCCATGAAGATGATGCAGACAATGCAGGAACTTTATCTGACCAGTTAGGATAGCGGGGTACAGTCACTTCAGTCAATCAAAGTCAACTCTAGTAGGAAGGAGCAAGTCCAAGAAACAGCAAGGAAATTTCCTGGTGATTTCAGTCAAAGTGAGGATATATTTTTGCATGTAGTGGGAGGCAAAAAGAGTGAATAAGCTTAAAAGTGGCTACAGAATATTTACTACATTTAGATTTTAATTTAAACTTTCTGAGTACTTTAATTTGAAAGCTACAAGATATCCCATGAAATAGGCTTGCCTCTACTAATGCTGTGCTCTTCCATCTTTAACCTTGTTAGCTGTTCCCATCACATAAATTTAATTTATATCAGTGTAGGTTTGCAACAGCTCAGTACAACACCACATGACGAGATCATCCTCTTGTCCTTTATCTTAGAACCTGGAAATCTAAAATCAAGATACATGCAGCCTTTCAAATGCTATTTTAAGATTTTTTTTGTATGCTGTAAATATTCTTTCATATTTGTGCCAAATATACAGTGAAAGTGGTATATGTTTTGCCATTATTACTTGCATAGGTAATGATTAGTCAACAACAGGCTCATCCTCTTTCTAAACAGAAGGGGGATGGCAGTAGGCCTCATGAATTAATGACATGTTATCATGACCTTTGCAAGCCTTCTATCTCTGTCATTCTGATCTCTTACAGAGGCAGGACTCTTTGCAGTTAAAAAGAAAAGACTTTTTTCTTTTTACTCATTACAAGTTCTGTGTCTGTATCTCAGCCTGATACTGAGTATCGTACCATCTTTATGGGAAAAATAAACAGTACATTCTTCCTTTGTGAATCAGAGAGATCAGAAGGGGAAAGATGAACAGGACCTTTCCTCGTTGGTACTTTTGTAAAAGGAAATTCAAATGAAATGGAGGATGAATTTTAAATCTTTAACTTAAGTAAATAGCTCTTTCATAACCTATGGATACTTTTCAGCAGCAAAAACAACCCTCTGCCATAAAGAATAATTAATCAAGATAATGTGTTCCTTTCCAGTGTGAAATTAATGGACGCTTAATCTGTTTTTCAGAATCCTCAGTCAGCAGCAGCTCCCCTGGATCAGGTCCCAGTTCCCCAAGCAATGGACCGACCAGCAGTATAACAGAAAATGAAACTTCAGTTTTGCCATCTAACATTCAAGCTGAGGTGAGACTCTCTCTCTTTGTTGGGTAGATAATTTATCAGATTTCTAGACCTGAGAGATTTGAAACTCCAGTTTTTGCTTACTCACAACAGGAATAATTGCAGAAGGTATAATTATCAGGAATACCAGGATACTACATGTGGACATCAGAGTATGTTATATATGAGATACATCTTCATATATGAGATGCATTTTATGGAGACTCTTTGATAACTAAAGTCCAAACAAATGCATCAGTAATGCTACTGAAAGAATGGGTGGAAGCTATGAAAGTAACTTGGAAGCATCTGTGTTGCTGAACATTACTTTCTGGGGTAACGTGAAGAAGTGCACAGTACAGAAACTAGCAAAGAACTTTCACATGCAAAAAAGCGATTTAGGCATTGGTCATCCTAACCCATATAAGTTAAGGTGATCCCAGGTTCAGATGGGTGCTGAAGTGGGTTTGTTTAATTACAGTATCAGAGTTGGTTGACTAAATTGTTTTTCACATCTGCCTTTTATTTTAATATACCTGTTTCCTTATCAGGGCAGTACTTAACACAACTGAGATGCCTGGAGTCTTGGGATATTTGTTTGTAAAGTGAGCTTGTACATGGAGAGAATCTTAACTACTCCTTATTCTGTTTCATATATACGTGACTATAACTGGAATGCAGATGATACATCAGTTGTGATAAACGTAATTTAGCACAGACAATACGCCTGAGTCATGCTTTCCATGGCAATATTGTAAAGGGACAATAATCTAATGGAACTGGGAGAGAATAAAATTCTGCAATATTCTGTATCCACGGCCCAAACTTACAGCAATTCCTGCTTTGGTGGCAAAGTTTTCTATTAATTGTTGGTTTATACTGTTTATGTTAGAAAAATTGCATAAGACAATGTGATTGAACAAAGTTTTAGCAAATTGAGCTATTTCTCCAGGTCAGTGGCAGGACATTAACCTAAAAAAAAACACCCTGGAATGGGCAGTTCAACCTCCAACAGTGACTTTTCCCCATAATGAATTAATTGTGTGTGTGAACTATGATCCAGGGGGCAGGTGGGTGACCTCTGCTCACAGATTAGTAGTCTCTCTCTGGCCCGTAACCAAAAAGGAAAAAAAAAATTGCATTGATGGCTAACATGTGGTCTTGCCTCATAGCCCCCCTGCATGTGATTGCAAAGAAATTTAAATGACGCAGAGTAAGATCCATCATTTGGATTAGATCAGATCCTAGTTCAATGGAATTAAATGGTATATTTTGATATGGGGAACGTTTTAGATAGACATTTTTAATATGTGGGTGTTAGTGCTGCATTAAACAGGAAATATTGTCAAATTGGATCTGTTGCTGACTTGAGAATACTACAAAATGCACAAGGAATAATGTCTCAGACTTACAGTGCTTGTAACTTTGCATGGTATAGTTTCTGGATATTTGCCTACAATGTTCAACCACCATCAGACATGCAATCAATCTGGTCAGGCCTGCAGTCTCTGAGGAGATTTGGAAAGGTAGCAACAACCTGCGGAGTTATATTCTGTCTATTAACAGAACATCACGCTACGTATCATTTGCCATTACTGTGCCAGACATCAGAAGTAACAGCCCCACCCTAAAATCACAGATACACAAATAAGCTTAAAAAGTTCCTTTAGAAGTTGAGCTCTGTGTGCTGGTGTTGGTCACTTAGCTTCCTGGAAGTGTGCTTAGAAGCTGAAACTATGGACTTCCACTTCTGGATCCAGTCAGGGATTTCTTTACTTCTTTGGTTACTTGACTCTTAATATTGTGGTCCTGTGCGCTCAAACATTTTTCCATAAATCTCAGCTTCAGTGCATTTTGATTTCAGTGGGATTTCTTTGGTAGTTTAACAGCAGCCAAACTCCTACATGTCTCTTTTCTAGTTTAACATTAGCGGCCAGCTCTCCAAGGCTATATATTTAATCCATTTTTCATCAGATACGCAAAGTACAGAAGTTTCTAATAATAGGATAAGTGTTCCAAAATCACCCAAAATATCACTTGTTTTGCTGTAATCCCACATGACTCACATCGCTGTTGTTTCGTAATCGTTGTGACATTTGCAGTAAGTGTTGTACTCATATCTGAGTGGGTGGAGAGCTGCGGGTTTTATGGCAGCAAATAAAACACTTTTTGCTGGGGAAAAACAGGTTGCTATGACAGAGAACCACTTACCAGTGAAACATGAGTCAATACCATAAATTATTATACTCTAGTGCAGAGACAGAATTAGAGCATTATCAGTAACGAAACAGAATTTTAAAGTATTTTTGCCATAGCCATTTAAATAGTGAGACTTTTAAGTGGTTTACCCTCCGGAGCAGACAGTCTTGTGGATAGACATTTACATTTTTTTGAATTAACAAAGGTGCACTGCAAATGCTACATTTTTGCAGATAACCTTATACTATCACAGTTCCCGTAATGGTACTTTCAGCACCATTTGTTAAAACACTGGTCTCGTTATACAAAACTTGAAAGTTGAACTCAAGATTTTAATTGAACCTTATAAATAAAATACTGTTTTTATTAGGCCCAGTTGTCTCCAGTATCATCAAGGTTCACTGCAGTAGCTATTTGTCTCTTGCAGCCCGCCGTACACTTTTAGGTCGCCTGCTGTGCTGGGGCTAAATATTACTTGCATGAGAAATGCAAGCAGGATTGAGACCCTGCACAGCATGTCCCCTGAGTTCACAGGGACAACCTGCCTTAGTCTTGTGAAATTATTCATTTTAGGCATTTACAGCCTGATCAAAAGCCATTGAAGGCAATGGAGAGTTTCCAGTTGGCGTAAGCAGTCTTCAGATCATTTTCTTTCTTCCACTTGGGCTTTGGAGAACAGCATTTCCTAGAACATCACTGATTATACTGGGGACATAAATGATATGCATGGCAGATAAACACATACTTGATTTGTACAACCCTACAGCACTGTTCTTCTAATACATAGCTCCTTGAGGTGCTCTTTGCAAGTGGCTATTAGAAAAATGGTGTTTCCTTCAAGTAAATGTGAAGAGTCTAAATAATTACCAAAAAAACACCCCAAAAGCCTTAAGAAATAAGAGTGAAAGTAACTGTGAATATTAAAAGCTGTAACAACCTTACTGTATCTCCACAATTGAGACATATTAATGTCAAACCATTTCCTCTTCCCCACTTAGTGTATAGATGTGCATATAAACATGCACACATGAAATGAGTGTTCTTGCGTCTCAACAGGTTCCACTAGCGCAACAGAAGTACAATAACTAATCATGGTTACCTTCTGATGATCATGCACTGTTATATTTAGTTATATTACTCTGTTTTAAGGAAGAGGGTAACTGTTGACAAGCTATTTTAAGCGTCAGGAAGCAGGATCCATGGATCTAGTAAGTAAATACAAAGAGGAGCAAGTACAGCAAGGTGCTCTTTGGGGTAATGTAGGTGCAAGTCCAAACCTTTAAGCCCTTATGTAGGAGAAGGACCATGGCTTAGCCATTGTGCTGCCAAATGACACTCTTGGCAGCCCCAGTTCCTGCAACCATTTCAAGGTATTGACAACTGAGTAGGAAGAGAAGCTGCAGCTGGGGTCATGAAGTTCTGCCTCAACAGATGCAGGACCCTAATCTATGCAGATGGGCTACTGAACTTATTTTGGGAGATGTGGTTTAACAGATACTTAAGCTAATGTTACTTGAAAATACTTTTAAAAATCAATTACTTGTCAAAATGAAAATGACTGCTTATTAGCAGTATAAGAAATTGGATTGAAATGTTCTTTACTAATAAACTCATGTTTTCAACATTAAACTCCCGTGGTACATAACGTGTTTGATTTGGCCTCATGAAACAGTGATGTCTGACCTTAATGTGGGAATGTATTTGATTGCTATTCACCCTGTTCCTGTTATGTTTGTTAATTCAAATCTTAGAAGGTTATAGGGGCATACTGAAAACCTAGAAGGAAACACGCATTTTTGAAGTGGCTTTCTATAGGTGCTGCAGTTACTACAAATTTTAATATGTTCTAGGAGACATGTTAGAAGTGCTCCACTGTCCTTTTTCAGTTAAATCTCAGTACTTTCCCTCAATATCTCCATAGTCTTGACATACTTGCTTTTATTCATGGTCAAAGGTGGATGTTACCAAGGCAAGACACTGTTAGCCAGGAGTTAATGTAATATACAAGTGAAGCTTCTTTGTTTCCTATGCTATCTGTTGACATTCCCTAGGTACCAAAAGAAAATTACAGAGATAGACTTCGGCTGTTATTGTCTCAGTGATAGGTCGTATCTCCAAACAAACTATATGAGGAAGGTTATGTTTTGGAATAACATCCTGTGTTTTTGTGCTTAACCATTTTTCATTGATGGTCTGAAGTTGCATTGTATTAGCACAAAGTATTTTACAGAGTTAATTGATATTCCAGGTTTGTCCAGGGGAAAATCTACAGCTCCCCACAACATGCTTGACAAGTTATTATATTTACTTTAGTCAAAGCCCGAGTGTGCAGTATCCCTCTTGGAGGTGGTCTATTATTGGAGTCCCATATGCTTTTTGTTTGGGAAGAAAGCAGTCACTGTGTCATACTGTTACACAGGGTATTCTTTTTCAAGGATGTTGTTCCCTTGGGGACCATATCATGCCAGAGTTCCTAAGTCTAATAAGACCTTTGTAGCTCTTATTGTGTTAAAGTTCTGGGAGGGAAGCAAGAGTTAAACAGAAAATGTAATTCAAGCAACTATACTAGACCACATGTTGAAAAACATGACTGTTAAAGCAGAAAGGCAAAGGCTTCAAAAAGATTCCTGTTGTGGTAATGTAACTTTTTATGTTTCTTCCCAATTAATCTAGAATGGAAAGGCAGAGGGTGATCTTTGTAGAGTGTCTGGTTTTACTTGACAGTAATTAAAAATGTATCAGCAATTCCATGTCCTCAAAAATTATATCGCAAGACTTCAAAAGAATTGTTAAAGATTTTAACTCGAAGGAAATTAGAAAGTCTGTGAGGGGTATCCCACCATCATAGAATGATTGGATCCTGGTTTTGTATAAATGCATATAGAGAAAGAGACGGTACATTTTTTAAAGATGGCAGATGTGGCAATCTGCCTCACTTTCTACTCAAAACTCCCATGTGGATGGGAGTAAATAATGTGCCTGAAGCATCCCCATATGACTATCTGGGTAAGAAAATGTATGGACTCGGTAGGAAACACACTTCATACCTTACAACAAAAATTGTAATAACCAAAGTAAAGTTCTAATGTATCCATATTTGTGACACCTTTGATTCAGATAGATATATTCCTTAATTCACTGGCTACACTCCCACTGATTTTCTGGTAGTGAAAGTGCAGTTGATGAGAAGAGTGGATGTTGAGCTGATGAGAAGGTGATGATCAGAGATGGTTGAGGAATCCTCAAGATTTTGGTTTTGCATGGAAATTTGAATTACTAACCAGGTAATGCATAGTCCTGGACATATATCAGTTGTTTTCTTAAGAAACATCAACAGCTTTTTCACAGGATTGGTACTTTTCCTTATCTGTCAACCCATTAGGATGCAAACCAGTGCATGATTTGTAACTGGCTTTCAGTGTAGCAGGCTAACAAGTATAAAGTAACCAAGATAAAAAGCTTGGAGATTGTACATCTGTTGTTTTTCCCCTTTATTCCAGCATCTGGTTTCACAGCAACGACTTTTGATACAAGATGAATCAGTGAACTTGTTGAGTCTGTACACATCCCCTTCTCTGCCCAACATTACCTTGGGACTTCCAGCAGTACAACCTCAGATCACTGTAAGTGACCATTCTCAAGCCTTCCTGCCTACATTTGCTTCCAGAAAACCTACTTTCTGCCTTTTCTCTTTGTTTTAGCATTTTGGAATGTAAGCAGTTCAGAGTAGGAAGCAGACCTTTCCTTGAACTGGGCAACATTTGAACATTCAGCAGCATGACTTGAAAGCAATAATTATTTTTGATTGCAAATAAACGAGTCCCAGTGTGGAGCTTAGCTAGGTATGGGCCACATGCATCATGTTTATATCTGCAAATCAGATAGCAGATTTCAGACATGGTGAGAAGTATATGAGGAGATAATTTAGTATAAAAATTCAAAGTATATGATCTTCCCTACCTGCTAAAGTGCAGTACATGTATATTTTTATGAGATTCCAGTAGCAACCTAAGCTGGGCCAGAGCATAGTAGAGGAAAAATCTAGTATTCCTGCAACTAGGTTTGTTATTTCAGGGATGTGCTATCAATCAGAGAAAAAAAAAGCAGTGATATGTGAGCACTACTTAATATTTTAATGATGAGTTATGTTAATATGCCCTTTGTTCAGTCTGCAGCAATCACCTTTATTGAGAACTAAAAGTTAACTTAATATGTGAAATGTATGAAAACACAGACACAGTATTTATGGAAATTCATGCTGATGAATAAGGATCTTTACATCTAGAGCAAATTACAGTAACCTAAAGGTGAAAAATGAGGTTCAGTAAAATATCTGAATATTTTGCCACTGTTCAAAGCTTTTCTGATTTCCAGGGGAGAAAAAAATAAAAGGACATAAGTTATATGGAGGTTCTATACAACAGTGTATAAATTCTGAAGAAATTTTATCAATTTAAATTTCTTAGAATGTGAATTGGTAACTCCCATAAAAATACTAGGTGTGTGGGTACAGCTTTCCATGGTGTAAAAAACCCCAAAATCTATACAATCCAGTATGGTTTGTAAGAAGTGCTGCTTAATTCCAGTGCTAAATGCACTTTCAAGTTAAAGTTTCATGATATCCTATGGCTTTTTCAATACATTTACTATTCTAACCAATAATATATTACTGCAATCTAGTATTTTAACATAAGATAAAGGACTTTACAAAGAAAATTTTGTAAGCTTTAAAAAATCAGTCCTATAGGGGCCTTTCATGAGATATTTATAAGTAATTTACTGGTTTTAAGGGATGGAAAAATTGAGCTGATTATGAAATGTAGTGCTTACTTTTCCAGATATTATAATGAAAAATTTCTTAGCCTTTCACAAAAAATATTACTTGCTTCAAAGCAATTTTCTAACTTTAAAATGGAAATGAAAATATGTTTCATTTTCTCATTCAAATCATATGAGCTTTTGATGTGGCCAGCTAGCACCAAATATTACTTCTGGCAGTAGAAAAAACAAAGGGGCTGATTTATGCAAGCAGTGTTTATTTCTATTACCAGAATAAGTTGCAAATTGAATGTAAAGTTTGCTTTGGTGTTTGTTTTTTAGGGAAGGGTGATAGCAGAGTGTGAAGCATACACCCAGAAATATTAATAAAACCTTGGTTTGCCTTATAAGAATTTATGGAATTTAGATTAACAGTAGAGATACTGTTTTTACCATGACACACCATAAGTGTTTATCTGCAAGCCTCAAGATGCTTATTTCTGTTACGTTATTATTCTTGCTGTAAAAACTGTTATTTTGCTTTAACTGCTCTTTTAAGATTTCCTTTTAAAGTAGATGAAGAACAGAGAAATAGAAGGTACATTCACAATGCTGAAGGGCTGATACTTCCAAAAGCTTTAAATCAATAACTGTGCCCTTTATAAGGGCACTTTAAAATGCTACACATACACAGCAGCTCTTGATTCCGTAGATGAGAGTTTTAACTGTACGAATTTACTTTGCAAAGGGTAAAGCTTACATTTGTGCTGTCCTTCAGGGAGTCAGGGAGTGCTCCAGGAAAAGTAATAGCTTCCCACTACTACAGGTAATTATTTTGTTTTGCTGATTGGCTTGCTGTCTGATGGAAAGTTATATGAAAAACCATGCCTTGCCTATTCCAAACTCAATGGAAACTATTTTCTCTGATCTCCTGTTTTCCTGTGCAGGAGGCTGTGGGTAGGTCTTTAGGAATGTAAAGGATTGGTCTTGTCTTTTCATTAATAACTTTCTAACATTAGTTCCTTACGCTTTGGCTTTTATTACTGATTTTTTTTCAAGTGGTTTCATTACACAGTTTCTCATAGTGTTACATTTAACTGGCATGTTCTTCCTCCATTTTCGTCATTTGCATTTCAGTGCAAGATAGGAATGCTAACCCTTTATTCTGTATATATTCATAAAATATGACACAAGGCTGTCTAATAAAGTGGAGATATAAATGACCAGGTCTATGAAAAGCATTTACCAGTGCCATTGTTCTTTGACAGGCTTCATCATCGTTCAAAGAAAAGCAGAAGGGGGAGACCCAGTCGCTCAGACAAGGAGTGGCCTTGGCTGGACAGTATGGAGGAAACATTCCTCCATCCTCAACTCATCCTCATGTTGCTTTGGAGGGAAAGCCAAATAGCAGCCACCAGGCTCTTTTGCAGCATCTGTTATTGAAAGAACAAATGAGACAGCAAAAACTTCTTGTGACTGGTAATGATTGGGGCTCCAACAGAATTATAATTTGCTCAGATTCACATTAAACTAAGTGTGGTAATATAGATACTATACATGCTAACCATTGGGAAAAGTGGAAGGGTGGGAGAAAAAAGGACAGCATCTTTGTTTTCCCACTTTAGTGATTCCACTCCAGTCTCTTAGCCTGAAAGAATTCAATGATTACAGAAAAGAGAAAACGATTACTACATCACATTCTTTTGCAGCTGCTGAACGTCTCAGCATTGCGAGGCATGTGATGCATGTCCCATGGCATCAGTGCTGATGCAGAGTTCTGCAGTACGCACCCCTCTTCTCGCTGAAAGCTTTCTCTGAGTTTAGAACTCTTAGTTTGTTTTTGTTCACACAGGAGTGAAATGTTCCTGTTTTGCAGGAGCCGTTCCGCTTCATCCACAGTCTCCTTTAGCAGCAAAGGAGAGGGTCTCACCTGGCATAAGAGCTGCCCACAAACTGCCTCGTCACAGGCCACTGAATCGAACCCAGTCAGCTCCTCTTCCTCAGAGTACTTTGGCCCAGCTGGTCATCCAGCAGCAACATCAACAGTTTTTGGAGAAGCAGAAACAGTACCAGCAGCAGATCCACATGAATAAGGTAGGTCCCCAAAGTAAGGATTTTCCAGTAAACAAAAAAGTTGGAAACTAATAAGGAAGTTTAGGTATTGGTGCCAACTGATCATGGACAGTGGACAGGTTCTTGCATGAGTTTCTTGTTTATGTGTAGTTGGTGTGTGCATTTGTATAGATCTTAATTTTCAGTCTTCCGAAATACGCTACAAAGGTAGTTTTTGGTTCTTGACATTAGTAAGAATACAGTTCAACAAAATAGGGTTCAGAGCATCTCATGGGCTGAAATTACAGGTGGTTTCCTATTCAAAGCTAAATGATGCCTAAAGATTACTAGATTTCTACCCAACTTTTTGATGTGCCCTTTTGAGCTTCAGCAATCGTTGAACTCAGCTGCCTTTGAATAGTATTTTAAGCTTTCTCATTGTGGACCACATTTGAATTCCATCAGCTGATTAGAGTAATTTTTTTTTTTTAATGTAAGAAACTTCTTAAACATGTGGAAAAGTTACTAATCAGCTTTTACCAAACCAACTTTTTCTCTGTAAGTCAATTAGCAGCATGAAATTTTTTAATCTATATGGCAATCTAAAATTTCCACTTAGGGAGAAAGTATTGCTAATACCAGAAACAGAGTTGAATTGTACCCCTTTTCCCCTGTAGAGTAATACCTTATGCTAAGGAGGGAAAGA